CGCACATATATAACGAGTGAGTTCAACAGCACTGGTCGTTTTTTAGTTGGTGACCGAAACACCCTGTGTCACTTGTTCTCACTGCGTACCTTTGTGGCGCAGAATCAAAACCAATCAGATTGCGTGCAGTGTTTGGCTCTTGGTCCTTCGGATTCTAGGTGTGGGTAGCTTAGTTTGTAAATTTAATGCTAGTTAGTATTGAGTTATGCTTGAAAGCAGTGTAAACAACTTCATGTTACTAATCTAGGGCTCAGACATCTCCCAGACAAATTGTCTACCTTGTAATTCTCTTACTGGAATACTCTGCACTCACAATCAACCTCGTCAGTTGACTTGGTTGTGCCAATTAACCTGGCTATCACCAACGAACGAACCTCCCTTGCTAGCATGCTACGTAAAAATGGATTTAGATGGTCTAGAGTTTATGCCAATTTACCCTCGTATGTGTGTGTGTCTTTTTACGTAAAACACTAATTCAATCATCATGATTTTGTGATCTACATGAAAGAAATTCATTTGGTTGGAGCCAACTTCATTGCGACAGCTTTAGTGCAAACTGACGCAAAATATCACGTTCGCAAGCCATCCACACCTAATTCCCTGCCACTAATTCAGAAAAGTAACGTGGCAATTTATTCGTTCTGAGGTTGAGTTTGACTTGCAAATAGTTCTTGTAGTCACCTTAATGGGGAGTGTTTGTACCTCAAACCACCGCGATCGATTGGAGCAAAAGTTAACAGCAGTCGTTTCCGGTTTTGGTTAAAATTGTAGACAGCTTGGAGACACTGCGACGTGGTAAAAATTTATCGTAGTGATGTGTCCTTTGGTTGTAACCATCAGTTATCCAATCCAGGCAAATCAAGGCCACGTGTTGTTTGGTAAAGTGCTTGCTTGCCGCAAATGTGACTTCACCACATCAGGATTGTTGTTCAGTGGAGCTATAGAGCTCACCAAGTCACCTTGGTGATTGTGTGGGAGAGCTTTTAGGCTAAAATATCTGCGTATTCCTCAATGGTAAGTACTGTCCATCCCTCACACGAAGACTTCAAACTATACGCAGGAATAACCCGATCACCAGAAATCGATAATCTTTTCCGAATACAAGTTGTGGACAGACACTTTTCTTCCCCGATGTTTCAACAGTTACTATCCCCACGCGCGTATTTGTATCCCCGTTTAGTCAACAAAAATTAGGTAACAGCTTAGTCATCGCCTTGTTGACTCGCTGTTACCTAATTTTTGTTGAATTACTTTTCCGAAATCGTCATCCGAATGCGTAGTTTCAGAGTGGCGTCCATCGTCACCCAATCTGGCTTAAATTCGAATTACACTCATTCACATGCCAAATTTACTTGTTATCCTCATGTTCTCATCATCACCTATCTGCAACACAACTTCCAGTTCCCCGTAATCGAGGCCCTCGTCATTCTGAGAAGTCGTTCCCTTGTTTGCAAGAGCATGACTCAGAGTTGTGAATTAGGTGTCGTAGGCCTTTCGTGCTAGCATTTGTATATTCGCCTTGCTTTGTGTGTTAATACCTTTTTTCCGGTGTGAAGTACTGTCGCATTCCTGCGGGTGCACACTCCTTGCTGATTGGCTGATGCTGCAAATAGCCGCGCAAGTCAGGGCCTTAAGTGCTAATGCCTGACGGCTCCAGTCAACGTGCTGAACTACTGTGTTTCCAGATTCACTGACGTCCTCTCACATCTTACCTGCAATATCTTACTTGTTCTAAAAATTTCGCAAGCGCCCCTCGTACAAATCAGGCTGGGCAGGCCATTTTCAGTATTTCTCGCCCAAATGGAGGTTGTATTACCATTTACACATGGTGGCCTAGTTATGACTGAACTCTGCATAATTTCAAGAATTACAATACCAATGCGACTTCGCTCCAGGACGGAAGTTTATTTTTTTAAAGGCATGTAGCAAAATCACACCCTACTCCTTCGTCGCCATGACTTTGTGGAATTTTACTCCAGTTTGAGCTAGTTGACAAGGCAGCTGGGTGGGTCTGTAACACCTAACTGAAAGTAATGTGATTTGTAAATACCATCACCGTAGCTTAGTCGTGGAATAGCCAGCAAGCAGGTCTGAATCTGTTTTTCTCCACTAGCCGCCAACTGGAGCGCACGTTTGGCCAATCAGGAGCCTGTTTTCAAGGCTGTTGGCGCAATTTGTCCTCATGCCTTTGTACGCCTATGCGCATCAGCTGTAAAGCTCGGCGCAAGACATCGGGCATTTTCGTTCAAGTGCTACGCTTTTTTTCCCTAAAGCGACCAAATTTAAGTCTGATCTGTCGATGTTTAGCAGTGTCTCTTTGTAAGGAGAATGTTAGCCTGTACCATTCGTTGTCGTATTATTTGTTGCCATTCATGCAGGAGAAAGATTGAGAGAAGGCTTCACAAGCAAGCAAGATAATTTCTCATCACAAAAATCAATAATCGAATTTATAAGCATTTAACCAATGGCCAATATAGGGCGCTCGGGAATCGTTTGAACACCGAGCATAACCCACGAGCAGGTGCTGGGGGGTCGATTGCTTGTGTGAACAGATAGCCAGGGATTTTGGTCTTGTAGTCATTCGTAGATTTGCCACGAAAAACGATAATAGTTCACGCTCTCCGAAAAAATTTACCTTAGAATTCTGGTTGATTTGTCTTGTTTGCTTCCTGCGCTGTTGTTCTTGCGTTCCAGTTTGGGTGTTTTGCCAACACCAGAGTTCTTACCCATGATCGGCCGAACAATGTCTCTTAAGGTAGCAGTGTCCCATCGAAAGATAAATTGTCAGTGGGCAGGATCATTGCTGTTGTTGTTTTGTGATGTCCCAAGGTAATTTTAAGGATATCAACAACTACTGTCCTACCTACAGCAGTGGTTTTGATGGAATGTGTCATTTTGCTATTCTTTTGACTGCAACTTCTGCTTACCAGCTTTTCTGAACGCCTTTTTTCGCGGGGTGTACGGCTGTGTGGACATGTTCCCACATGGGCGTCCACCGGCTTTTTTTTAAAGAAACAGTAACTTTCTGGCTGGGCATGAGGGGCTTACCCAGTTGTAACTGCAGACTGCATAAGCCACATCAAACAATTTCTGTGACCGAGGCGACAACCTCGTAACCAATCAGTGGGCACGACCGAATTACGGGCTGTTGGCGTCACTCGCAACGGATTGGCTAAAAATTTTAAATCAATTCACCCCGTGCGTGTCCTTCTGCTCGTCAAATAGTCTGTCGTCCTGGCCGCACTCGAGTGCGTCGGTGTGAATCGCCATCCTCGTCTCAACAGAACCACCAAGATACGCTTTGTGGACTGCCATGCATAGATTGGGGCGTCGAGCGTATTCTGAGTGCAGTATCATCCTTGGTGACTGTTCTAGCTGATGCATTCTCATTTCGACCCATGAGCCCGTGCCGGTTTTCCGACCTCAAGTTGAGTCACTTCGGTGTTATATGTAGGCCGGGGTTTCTCATCCTGTTTTCGGAAATCCGATTCATCCACAGTTCTCGGCGAATTTGGATGAGTTGTCCTCTTCGCCATACAATGCTGATTGCTATATTCGATTGAAACGACTCTATATTGCTCTAAACATCTTGGGTCTACTGTTTGTGAACTTGTACTCAATATTTGGCTGATTTGCAGAGGCGGAAACGACTTGAAATTAGTGCAGTCACCTACGCTTTGCGTGATTGACTCTGTCCAATCATTTTTCAGCGCTGAATTGCCTTCTTGTTGGTTTTTTGTTTGTATAATCCCACGGCCGGCGATTGGCTTGTGGAGATCGGGATCACCAGGCGCTGGGGGAGTTGCTAAATTACTTGAGGCTCGGTAGATGCCCGACGGATACCCGACAGTTTTTTAGATGTCTTAGCGTTCACAAATAGGGGCAATGTCTGTTGGTAGTCTTGCTGAAGCGACTAGTTTAATATAAGAGCTACAGCGGCTCAACCCGATATTGGATCAATGAAATGAGGTGTGGCGAGTGGGATCTGGGGGAGGGGAATTAGGGCGAGAACTACCCGTCTTCATGGTTGTGGCTAGCCTTAATCCGAGTGCACTTATGGGCGAATGACGGCCCGGGCGTGAAACGCGGGTCAAGTGGGTTCGCTTGTTAGGGTAGGATGACTTCAATTCTTACGGGAACAACTTCAGGCATGCTAGACTGGCGAAGGGTGAACAAGAAGACAATAATGCCTCGTTTAACACGTAGCACTACTGTCATTTCATCTAAGAACCTGATCATAGCAATTTCTTGTTTATCAAGATTCGTTGCAGCAATCTTTTTTTCAATCAAATCGGGGCAAAATCCTATTGTAGGCTGAGCAATACAGGGCGCTTGGCGTTGCTATCTCGCTCACGCTCACACACATGCCCGCCGGGCAATGCATAATCCATTCTTGTCAGACATTATTGCCTCTGAAACAGCAGGGCCATTGTTATTTCATTATAATTATCTGACTTTTCGCCCGACCAAGCAGTCGTTTGATGCTGCGCCACTTGTGTATGACGTCTGCATTCGCGTCTGTAGCGCTCTAATCTTTTCACTCGCGGCATACTCGGGATGCCTTTACTAAAATCGCGGTGCTTTTGTGGCAGTGAATTCCACATACCCTGTGTTTCCAAACTGAGTGGGCTTGAATTTCTCCTCCTTGCCATCCTTGCTAAAATTAGAAAGTCAGCTTTTTACGTAGACATAACAATATCCCTAGCACTTGCGCACTGTGCGCGTCAAACAGGGCAATTGCAAACCACAATATATCATCTCTTGCACCTCCACCTGCGCACATATCGGACATGGAAAGCCATTTGAGGTACCCTGTACCGTCGTTTTATCAACAATTTATCGTGTGTGGTACACTACGCAATGAATGTCGCCTGTTTGTCCATTTTAGCTAGGCTAGACCACTAACTTACACCCTGCAATGTAGTCATCTTATCGGTGCACTGAATTGCTTAAGGCGAGAATGTCCGTTTGTAACATTTTTTTCTCCATTTGTACAATAGAAAAATCCGAATGCCTCGCTGCCCCCTCCGCGACCGAATCACTTTGTCTGTGCAGACTGGGGCGTGGCAACTCAACGAACCTCACCGTCGTTGTCCGCGGGCGCGGTTGGTGGACGTGTGGCGACTCTGGAGGTCTTCACTATGCCACCGTCTCCTCGTCAGCTTCGTCAGACCAGCGGGAAGGTCTTCTACGTTGGTGTCGCCTCGTCTAATTCCTTGGATCCATCGTCGTACATAACAGAAGACATGGCTGCTGTTGAAGAGGAGCAAAGAGAAGAGTTGGGTCTTTGTCTTGAGATGGACGTACGACTGTCCTCAGATAACATCGATGGTCCTTCTAGACTAACCGTTAAGTTCAGGTGGGCTCCGATTCACTCTGTATTCTGTTATTCTCGTTCCTTTTCATCACGTTTTTTTCTCGCTTCATTCCGTTACTTTCACAAATCGTCCAGGTTCTTTTCGCAGCAATATTCAGCCCTCAACTCATCCTGCTCTAAATGTTTTCACTAGATCCTTGACCCAGACAATTGAAGCATTTCCGGAATCGACATTACTACCTCAGACAACCACTCCAAGCTCAACCTTGGCGCCGTCGCTGCAGCAGAGAGTTGCCTATTTCACCGGCCTCGCAAGTCGCATTTTATGGCCACCCTCTACTGCGCCGACGCAGCCACAACTCCAACGCCATGCCGGTCCCCCTCTCGATCGCTGGCTTCACTTTACCCTCCCGATTGACCCCAAACTCCTCGCCACAGCCCCCTCTGACTCGCCTCTGCACTTCGCCCTGCACGGTCACTCGGGTGTCTGTGTGGACTCCCTGCTATTCTCGAAATGCAGCATCAATTTTGCAACTCCTAGTCTTTCTTGGCCTCCGAACAACACGCTCAACCTCTCCTCACTTCCACCGGCCAACATGTTCGCAAGTGCCGACTCCACCAGTCCCTCCCCGTTCAATCCCCTCCTCACTGGCGCCTTCTTCTTCGCCTGCCTCCTAGTTGTCCTCGTGAGTCTACTGATTGTCGTCTTGGTTGTATCTGTTGCCTGCGGCAAAACAAGGCGTCTTGGTCGAAAGGGCACCGGTGGGAAGGCGGCAGGATTTGAGAAAGGCAAGAGTGTCGGGGATGCAGTCGCACCGACGCATGTTGGAGCTGCGCTTCTGCGATCCCCGTCGATTTCGTCGCTGCCTGGGGCCGCGGTTTACCAGCGCCCTATTGATGAACTTCTGCATAATGTCGAAGTAAGCAGATCGGACATCATTTATTGCCTCTTTTGTCGTTGATCTTGACATTACCAAGTGTATTTGTCGCGTGTTTGTGTGTACGTCTAATTTACCGTTCCTGGACTGCTGTGAATTTCCTTTTCCAAGTGTAGTGATGACAGTTTGCGCTAATTGTTATATTGGAATCTTAGGGCAGCTACTGAAGTCCCTTGATCATCTGACGTAGTCGTTCCATTTACGATAAGGCTCGAAGTATTTCAAATCGAAGGGTCACAATGTTAACACTGCGGAACAGTGATTAGAACATGCGTAAACACGCAACACCCTGAATTTTGTTTAATGTGCAAGTCTAACTTTGTGAACGCCCGGCGACTTGCATCTAAACGAACAAGTAAGAGCAATCTGTTTGGTACCTAGTAGTTCGTTTCCTAAAATTCAAACACAATTTCGGTTCTATTTATTACAAGTTTTTTTTTCGAATCGCCTGTCTGGCGCAATATACTTGGAATCTGCGGAATGTCAAAGTGTTTACATAGAACCTGCATTGCTTAATGTTTTGACCTAACCTAGAGTTTATCCATTTCGGATTGACCTCATCCGCGAGGTCACGTGTTTCGCGCCAATTAATGTCTTCCCTAACTTTCGATTTGATTATTTAAGATCCGGTCCAAGGTACTTGGTCACACTGTGTTTACTTTGACTGTGTTTTAGGAGGATGTCGATGAGATCAGGCGCAATTGGCATCCGCCACCTGGTCATGCCTCACTGGACACAAAAAGTCAGTACAAGAGACCACAGCGGCGTCCACCCCGTCGGGCGCTGAGCGTGGACAGCCGTTTGCAGTCGAAATTCGCCGCCTCCTACGACGTGAAACCTGGCGCCGGCGTGGTTCAACGAAGACATCGAAAGCACAGCAAAAAGGTGGCCGAGAGCGTCAGCCCTTCGAATGCTTGTCAACGTCTTTCCCTTCTCCTCTCAATAAACGAGGAGAACGAGCTCATTCTTGTAGCTCCTACATCGGCCAATCCTCCATCGGTACGTTTTGTTATTGAATAGTTGTCGCCAAATACAAATCATGCTGAAATTTGCATCCGCTCTATTTGTTATCGTATTAACGGAAAGGCCATTGGTCCATCGATCGATTTCTATTCGCTGCATATAGAAAAAGTGGTGTAAGGGCTGGCAATAGACCGAAGCATTTCACTCTTAACTTTTTAGACACGCGCCTCTCCACAACCTGTAGCAAGAAGCGATGATGTTCCAACCACGGCCGCAGAAGAGGCTCCTAACACATCGTCCAACATCACCAACTCCTCATCTCGCTCTTCGGAGCCTTCGTCGGGCACAGCAACCACAGCAACAACCTCTTCGGGCAACAATACGTCTATAACCACTTCGAAGTCCTCTCATCCCTTGGAAGTTACTGCACATCTCTCGCTAGCGGAAGCTGAAGCAACTTTACAAGAAATGGCCGCATCTGTGGCTCATCTAGGCGAGGGGGCTGAGGAGAGATGTAGCACTGCAACGTCCACGTCCTCCGGTGCTCTGCCTCCGCTCTACGAGGAAGCTGTTCTCCTACTAGATCAGTCTCCTAGGGGCAATGCACCTTCCGTATTTTAGATTTGTTTACATTTAATGAGCACCAGCGACATTCCTGTGTGATTTAAATCGGCTATAACACTTTCTTTATCTTCCCACGTCCTCACTAGCTTCCCTATTAACGTCGTGTACATAGGATACAAACCAGCCACCAAAAATCGGATTCATTGTTAGCAAATATGTTGTCTTGATTTCTTTTTCCGACTCCCTGGTGATGGTTTGGGTACGCTCCCTGGAATGCGCATGTATGTTTGGCTTTAATAGATGGAAATCGGTTATCTCACAAGGTATGGTGGCCCTTAAGCGTGACACAGGATATTTGCCTACCATATGGAACGTAGGTAGTATTTGATTACGATGAATATGGTCTTACTCGCGGTAACCAATTCACAAGACGATGAGTTACTATCAAGCGACGGGATCTTGTGGAGATTCATTCCTGGGTACTGGACTACATTCACTAGTCGATTCTCCGTGCATATAGATAAGAAGCCTTCGTGTACTTTATGCTAAACATAGTTTTTAAGCACGATGTGAAATGCAGTTGCCTAACTGATTTGTGTTTTTGTAGAAATGTCCTTAGTTCAGTGAGGGGTTTCAGTTTAGAGACGAAGCAAAAGTTTGCAAATCATTTCGCAGGTAGATGGCTTTCTCATACTGAGGAAAACGTAGTGTTTATAGTCGACAGAACGGTGGTTAGATTCGTAAAACCTTGGTGAAATTTCACTGGCTGCTTTGAGTTTCTAGGGTTTTTTTGTTTTTAGTAAGATGACAAAACGGTTGACCATTGAAGAAGTTAGAGTGAGGATGCAAGAAATTATCGCATAGCACTATTCAGCAGGGTTATGTTGAAAAATGGGCTCAAAAACATTCATAAAATAAATAAAAAATAATACGGTACTTATTGCAAGAATTTACATGCCAAAATTAAAGCAGTTTCTGATTGTTTAAATGGATTTTAACAATTAGGCAATCAATCGAGTTTGGCTTACCATTGAATGATATGTCGGCTAAGCTTAAAAATAGAAGATCTGGTTATTACCTGACTGCCCGCTAATGGATAGCCTCGCCATCATGTTTGAGTAACATTAAATTACGAGTACCAGGAAATTCTCCACAAAAGATTACATGGTAAGGAGGCTTCAGATAATGACATAATGGATAGAGAGGGGATTTAAGTAGGAAGAATAAATTCTAAGATCAACCAAAAGTGTTCAACGTGTGGTGCATATGAGTTGAATTCTGCAAAATGCCCGATCCCTAGTAGGAAGAATGCAGGCCCAACAGAGAAGGCTTTTTATAACCCACAAACAGAGCAGTTCATCAGGAACCGCCCATCTGAGTTCACAACGTACAATATTTCAATGAGTTTTGCATATTTCAAATAGCCCATTAAAAAGGGTTACTAAATTCAAATCGAATACCTCTATGCATCGGATTACCATTGCAGAACATTTATTTAATAATAATTATAACTTTTCAAGTTGCAATTAAATTTCATTCCGAAATTGGGTTGATAAACGACCAATGTCATAATTATATGACTTATTGTGTTGTTAGTAAATCGATGAAATGGATTAAGTCATATTATTATCTGACTGCATTTTAAACAATATAACTGTTTTCGAATTAGGACATTGGATTTTTAAGTGTAAAATAGAATTTTTGAAACCAATTTTGAGTGATTATTTTAAGCAAATCGTTTAGTTTTAATAAATATCGTTAAAAATTTAAGCTGCATCTATGCAACACGCTTTTTAACTGACTAACCTTGTGTTTGTTTAAGTTCGTAAAACTTTCGCATGTAGTGTATACTCTATTTTGTGAGCAAATTTGAAGCTCTGTTATGCACAATGCATATCACAAGATTTCTAGTAGTTATTTTGGCTTTTGCAGCCTTAATATACAAAGCCACATGTTCAAAATTTTCTTGGCAAACAACAGAGGATGAAGTTTTTGAAATTTCCGTCTACTATGATACGAGTAATTCATTTATCATGGTTTTTCCACTACTTCGACTAAGGATTGACGAAGGTGCGGAGTAATTTTTTTAATTGCAATTCTATTTTTGATTTTTGGTGTATATAGTATGTATTTTGCAGTAAGCAAAGCCCTAGTAGAAAATTTTTTAAATGCAAATTTTGTATTTTGGTGTTGATTTAAATATGAATTTGAACTAACACTTTTTAAATGCTTTTAATATTTACACCATATTTATTAATATTCAGACGTTTCTTTATGTGGATTTTATGTTGAACCCCCGCATCCTGCTTTAAATATAAAAATTGTAAACTCTTCAACTGGAGTCGGTGAAATTGTTCTCAATTCAAATGGAACTGAGGATCTGGATGGATCCTTATTTTATGTTCGAGGCGAAACATGCGAAGAACCAAAATTGCATACGGTAGATAGGCCACTGCGCGTTTATGTAAGTTACGTATCGATAAACGTTTTAGCAGCCACAAAATATTTTAAAATCTTTTGTTCCCGGGAACACAAAAATATCACGACCGATCATAGTAACATTAAGACATTTATTTGTACGTTTACCATGCAAAAATAGGTCTAGATATTGTTACTATTGAGAGTATGTTAGTCCCATGTTTTTTGCTTCGGTGGGAAGCTGCATGGATTGGATTTGATTAACTTTGCTTTTGTATTGTCTCCTGCACAATAATTTCACCTTGATGGCTTGAATTTTGCCTTGATATGAGGCACAAATTTGCTTACAGGTAAACAAAGTAAATTGGTAGTTTTACCTATTTGTGTAATCGCCAATGCACCTATTTAAGTCCGACATACATTCCTGACATTAATGCTATACGTGTCAAGGATTTGGTGAAACATTCTCTTAAGAATGTTTTTTAATAATATTTAAAAATTCTAGCATATGTAATTGACTAAGAACTTAATACAGGATCCTATGCGAGTATATTTTGCCTACAAGATAGGCCCCGTATTCTCTTGTTAACTTATTTGTCCAAGGCAAACCAAACGCTATGATAACAAAAATGAATTTACACAATAAATAAATAAGTGGTTGTTTGCAAGGTCTTTTGTTTGCATTAGTTAATTTGTTTCTGAATAAAATGATCCCGAAAGGGTTGTTTTAAGTTTAAAAAATAGATTTGTTTACTCCCTCTAAATGCAAAGAATACTTCAGCTTGCATTCTTGAAACACGTCTGCCTTAAAAATCGAAACCTTCTATATACATTTTTAAAGTTGTTTTCAGAATTATTAGCTTAATTGTTGATCAAATGTCTTTTGTCTGAAATACTAACGTTTGCCTTAAAATTACTTGCCACACTTTCATTTTGATTGTTTACTGCTACAAAAATTTACTTCAAAAAATGCTTAATTGTGTTCTGTTAACCCATTTATCGGCATTTATTTTGATCTACCCAGATCATTAAACCAAGTTATCCTTTCTGGAAATGGCCAGTTCTTTGGATCAACGTACCTACTCGTTTAGAAGAAACGTCAACTTTAGCCGAACTGTCCGAAGTCTCAGCATCAGCAGGGAATTTGTCAATCTGCAACTACAGCATTGAAAGTGGCCAGATGTCTCTTTTTACCATTGACCAAAATGGTATGTCTATGCCAAAGGATTACGACGAATTAATTGAAAATGCATGTGTCTTTTCTGTCTAGTATTCAGCATTTCAGCTTTACGTCACCCTTGAAACGTTTAGAAATCCGTTTTTTCGATGAATTAATAAAATATTTACACCCTTTAGCTTGTATTTTGGGGGTTTAATTTATCTTTTTATTTTGAATACGGAAATATATTTTACGTTTGTATTCTTTCATCAAAAGGTTAAATAAATTTACTCAGATCTTAAAGCAAGTTTTTTTTTATTTCTGGTGTCCTGTTTGCTTTGGCACTTTTTGTGGTAGTTGTTAATCTGTTTATAGGTTATTTCGGATTTTTGCACATGCTAAACAGTTTTATAAATTCGAGCTCCAGGTGGTTGTGAAGATGTGCAACGTGCTTTTACAAACTTTTTTCAAACATCATTTGTTTAAGTAGACATTTCAACACACACAAGAGATCTAAATGCGTACACGAGTTGTGTTTAAGAAAAGCATCAATTAGGCGAAAGTTGTGAAAATGTACGTGAGGTTTTAATTAATCAAAACTGACAAAAGCGATATAACAGTTGGCGGTGTTACTTGATGTACTTGATTTCTTAATCCCTTAAACCGTTAACCGAGCCAAAACTGCCCTTTGACTTGCGGACAGACCTTAGAAAGCTAGAACCATGAGTCTGAACGATCAATAACACTCATATCCCAAGCCCACTAAATGCGTAGTCCCAATGGCAAGTGGAGTGTTCCTTCAGCGGTCATTATAAATTAGTCATTGGTGCCATGAGATTCAGGGATTAATAATTGGCTTTGAGAATTTGTACAATTTGTTCCTTAATCTAGATTCAGTGAAACCACAGCCTCCTTAATCATAAATTGTTTTTTTTTCTAAACAAATAAGTATGGTTGTGTTATAAAGGATTTTAGCATGCACATGCATAAGTAACCCATTTCGCACATCTTAAACTGTTTTGACTTAATTATGACCATTTTGATGTGGCCTTACACCTGAAAAGCAGTGCTTCTATTGTAAATTCCGAAATGCCTCTTTCTTCAAAGGCAGCCTACGCAATCAGGCGGCGATTTCTGGCGTTGAGCCAGGCACCGTGCACACGCTAAAAGTGAGGTCGCATTCCTGTGGTCGGCCGTCGCTTGCATCAGTTCCGGCAACCATCATTCTATCCTACTGCTCACCGACATGGTCAGGTATTTGTGTGAATCACTTTCCATGCTTGTAAATTTAACGCTATTCTTGCAGTTGCTTAATGTCCATTTGCTATCGATCTGTAGCCAAAGTTGAATAGCCGAAATCAGTTGAATTTGTGCTTTTATTGCGACATTAAATTGCCATGGTAAACTGTTGATGTTTTAGTGCATCATTTTCCCACTTACTTTATCTCTTTGACAATAGTAGGTTTAGGAAGGTGTGGAT